ATCTCACTGGAATCTCTCCTGGCCCAGAGGCCCTGGGTCCAGACCCCAAGAGAGGGGAGGGAGACAAGAAGCCAGGGGGCTTCCAAAACCAGGACAGGGATTCAGTACTACAAATTCTGCCTAGAAGACACTTCAGCATTTTCCCCAGCAGCTTCTGGAACCTCAGCAGGAGACCGAAGAGACAAGCAGAACCCTTCATTCACCTGTCCTGACCCTGCCACCGCCCACCTGCCTGGCCCGACTCCCCTCCCTGCTGGGTGCCGCAGTCACCTTAGACAGGAGGGAAAACGCGGTGCTTTGCCAACATCATCTCATCCAATCCTGAGGACAAAGGTACCTATGAGGTAGTACTTATTACCCACATCTTCCCGACGAAGACAGAGGTGCAGTGAGGCGATCTGGCTTGCTAAAGCTCTTAGTAAGTAGCAGAGCCAGCATTTGATACAAAGAGAAAAATTAGAAGAGACATGGGCTGAGGTGAGATCAAGGGGCAGAGAAGCACACAGGCTGAAGGCGTCTCGTGGAGGTTGGCCGGGGCTGGCAGGAGGCAGGGGGTGCTGTGAGGGTACAAACCTGGGGAAACCTGGCTCAGGGCGCAGAGAAGGCAGGGAGACAGAGAAGGCTGTGGAACAGACAGCCAAGTGGGAAAGCACTGACTCCTTGCCCAGGTTCTGGGTCGGGCCACCCAGGATCTGGGCCAGGCAGGAGGAAGAGGGGGTCACCTGCCACAGGTGAGGGGCCTGCTAAGCCCATCACACCTCACCTACCCAGTGGGCTGCCCAGGGGAAGTCTCGGAGATGCCAGCCTGGCAGAGGACGCTGACTCTGCCCAGAAGGAGGAGTTGTCCGGTGTCTGCTCTGAGGACCAGGGCACCCCCATGGCCAGCATGAGTCATCATGTTGACCAATCCCACAAGCAGGAGGAGCGGGTGATGCTCTGCCTTGGGACCACCTGTCCACAGAAGTCCTGCTCACGCTTCACAGAAGCCTCATTCCCTCAAGCCACAGGCTGTTTGCTAAAAACGCAATTCCCAGAGGCCCCTCTCAGGCCCCCAGGAGGAGGCAGCTTCTCAGGTGGCTCCTTGGAGGGGAGAGAGGACAGAGCGTGGGGCCCGCAGGACGGAGGGTGCTTCTGATCTGGAATTCTGAGACTCCTGGTTCCTACATTCAGGCCCTCATCAGCATCCTGCTTCCCAGCCACAGCTCCTCCCTCAGCTTTTGACTCAGTTTCCCCTCCTCATCCTTTAGCTCTGCAGAGGCTTCTCTGATCTCTCTGTCTAGCTGAGACCCTCCCCTGCCCCCAACATGGGCTCTCAAATCCCCCATATATTTTCATAGATAGCCCCTACCACAGCTACAAACTTCAGTTTATTGGATGGCTGGGTGACCAATGTCTGTTTCTCCTGCCAGACCCTGAGCTCCGGAAGGTCTGGAGCACGGTGGGTTTTTTTCTCGGCATTTAGCACAGAGCGTGTAGAGTGTTGTAGAATGAGTTAATTCTTTTCCGTCCTTCACACAGAGCCCCTCCCTGTTCTCAAAGAGCTTAGGGTCTAAAAGGCTCAGATATCACACATTATGCCACTTAATCCTCACCCCCACCCTGGAGGCGCTGTCGGTGTTCCCACTTTAATGAGAAGAGCTTCAGACAGCTCATCACTAGCCCGAGTACGCAGCAAGTAAGCGGCTTTGACCTGATATGTCTGTTCCAGAGCCACAGCTCTGCCCACTACACCACCCTGCTTTCCTTCCCCAAGGGTCTCTGAATCTTCCCTTGCTCACTGTCCCCCGTCCCCACCCCCCACACGCTGCTTAAGCTCAGGACTGACAGGCAGAATTCGCTCACTCAACCACTCCTTCACTCAGCCCAGCAGCCGGCTCATGCACTGGCTGTCTTCTAAACAGGGCCTGCCATAACGAGATGGAGCGCAGCTCGTGGAGCCCTTCAGGGGAGCAGGGGCCTTTCTCCCACCCGGGCTGCCCTCTCTGAGGCTTTTCCAGCAGAAGCGAAGACCCAGGCAGCTACCCTGCCCTCCGACTCTCCTTCACTGTTCACTGGGGAAGGACTAAGCACCAGCCCTTATCATCCCCCCTCCCCAAAGGACAGCAGCCTAAAATATGCAGGCTGAAAAATACAGAGGAGCACAGTCCCCAGGTCTCTGCACTCTGAGGACTCCAGGACAAGAGAAGGGACAAAGTTAGGCACGATGGCTCTGCCTGTAATCCCAGCACTTTGGGAGGCCAAGGCAGGAGGATCGCTTGAGCTCAGAAGTTTGACACCAGCCTAGGCAACATGGCAAAACCCCATCTCTATAAAAAATACAACAGTTAGCATGGCGTGTGCCTGTAGTCCCAGCTACCCACGAGCCTGAGGCGGGAGGATTGCATTAAGCCCAGGAAGTCGAGGCTGCAGTGAGCTGTGACTGCGACGCTCCAGCCTGGGCAACAGAGAGAAATCTTGTCTCAAAAATAAAAGAGGGACAGAATTCTGCCCCCCTCCTCCCAGACAATGCTTTGACTGTCCTCTACCCCAGGCAACTCTGGAGAAAAGTTTTGGACTTAAGTCACAGACTAGGGTTCTAGCTCTGGGCCTGGTGCCAACAGTGGTACCCTCTGAGAATAAGTCACCTTGCCTCTCTCTGAGCCGCAGATTCCTCATTTTATCTGCAGGATGCGGGTGCTGATGATCATTCTAAAGCCTGTCCCATAGGATTGAAGGTGAGGATTCAATCATTCAGACCCAGAGATACAGTTTTCACATACATGGTTGACCAGCGAAATGTCTTGGCAACGTGGGGACGCCTAGGGGCCTGCTAAGCTGCCTGCGTACACTTGGCAATGCGATTCCGGGAAGGCTGTAAGGGAATGCCCCTAGTAGGCCGAGCCCAGAGCCTCCCTTCAGTGGACCTTCAGCAGTGGGAGCCCCTGCCCCTTGCTCAATGGTAGTGGGGAAGCTGTGCTCAGTCAGCCCACCAGCCAGGGGCCCTGAGGAAAAGGTTGGAAATGAGACCGAGCACACTGACGCTCAACTTTTCCCAGACTTGGGCACCTGGAGCTCCTCTAGACAGGGCAGGTGCCAGGAACTGGAGCTCTCAGAATCACAGCTACTCTCAGGCCCACCTTAGGACAAGCGTCTCCCTCAAGATCCCTTCTTTAGTTGGATTCTCCAGGATCTAGAATCCTCGCTATACAGACAGCGTCCATTCACTGGGTCCAGGCGCCAGGCCAGTGCGTTATGTGCTCTCTCACTGACACCTCACAACAACCCTGTGGAAGAAGATTTATCATTACTTCATTCTACAGATGAAGAAACTGCGGCTCGAAGAGGCGAAGTGATTCGCCCAAGTCACAGAGCCAGTTCGTGGCAGAGCCGGGATTCATACCCAGGCCGGCCTGCCTCTCAGCCTACGAAGTGGGGAGAATCACTGACAAAGACACAAAGCAAAGATCAGTTCCGCCTGTGCTCGGGGGGAATTCTCTCCCTGTTGCTTGTGATGAGTCATGGAAAGCACAGGAAATTCTTGTACCCATCACTCTTTCTGCAGGAGCAAAGATCCCCCAGAGATCATCAATGCCGAAGCCCACTGACACCCACACACCTCATCCCATGCTCCAACACACCGTGTTCTGCCCTGCAGACACCCCATACCCTGGAATTCATACTTTCCAATTGAGGAGATTGGGTCTCTATTCTTCGGACAGGGAAACTGAGGCGGACGGGAGGCGGGGCAGGAAGAATGGTGCCTGGGCATCCATGACTGGGCTGAGACTACAGTTCATCTCTCCAACCTCTGAGTCCACGATCTGACCTATGCCCTGCACGGTGGCATCACAGCCCAGAGAGGTTTAGGGCCATGTCCTCGGTCCAGCATGGAGGACCCATTTTCAACTAACAGTAAATACCAGGGCATCTTTGTTGTTTTAAGGATGGAAGTTTTCCTCTCAACCCTTATTGGCCACGTCTGAGCTTATGGGCTGTATCAGGAGGGCTACTTCTGGGGCAAGCTGACGTCTTAGGCGCTCTGAGAAGGTCCCCGCACTCTCCATAAACTCCAAGAAGAGCACCTCACTTCCTGGGATGAAAACCCAAAATCCACTCCAGCCCAGACAAACCTCTGCTGCCTTTGGCAGAAGAAAAGACTGTTAGAGGAGGCAAAGAGAAAATGGGAGGCGGCATTTGTGAGGATGGCGTGAGGCTTCTCTGAATCCTATTCAGAATTCCTGACCAGATGGCCACTGGGGAAGGGAACAGAGAACCGGTTGGCGACCCACAGCTGTCGCCCATGGTATCCAGGAATCACTGACAAAGGCACACACAGCTGCACAAACACAGGTGCGGCCACTCTGGACGCTCTGCTGCCCTCGGGGTTTCAGGGGCTTGACAAGAACAACAGTCACATTGTTACATTCAGACAGAATCACAAACTGACCGTTAGGGACAAGCACACACCAACAGATGAGCACCAAATATGACTCCGTAAGGGCCCCACGGCGAGGTGCTGACATCCAGCACCCTCCTGTCTGCCCTGCCCGCACGGTGCCCTCACACTGGTCTCCCCAAAGGCCCGCGGCACCTCAGAGCAGCTCTGCCCACCCCATGGGCATGTTTCCGACGTCCAAACATACAGTTGTACTGTCACAACCATCCACTCACAAACTGTGACAGATACACAAACTGACGCCAAACTGTCCCACAAAGAAACAAGGGGATGCCAACAGATGATCAAATGTAATTTACTCAACCGCGGCGCAACCCCCTCCACCCCAAACACACACACACACACACGCGCACGCGCGCACACACACACACACACACACACGATGACACACATTCCTGTGTCCCCCTCGATGTAAGTGGCCTCACCGCTCGCTGGGCCCCAGGTGCCCCTGCTGGAAGTGCGGAGGCGCAGGGAGTCCAGGGTCCGGGCTTGGGGTCCCAAGTTCGTGATCCCCACCCTCCCCCCCGGGCCCCATCCCTGCGGTGCCGGCCCGCAGCGGACTCACCGTACGATGCCGAACATGACGAGCACGTTGCCCAGCAGCCCCACGGCGCACACGGCCGAGTAGAGCGCAGTGATGGCGATTGCCAGGGCGAGGGACGAGGCGCTCCGCGCACCCGGCGGCCCCGACGCATTGGCGCCAGCGTTGGGGAAGGCGCTAGGGTAGGCGTCCGAGGCGTTGGCGAAGAGCGGGGGCTGCAGCGCGGCGCCGGCGGAGGGGGCCGGTTCCATGGTTGCCGGCCGGCTCCGCCGCGTCCCTCTCCACCGTGCGCCCTGGGCGCGGGGATCCGACACCAAGTGAGCCGGCAGGTAGAGGCCGCGGCCCCGACGCCGCCGGCTGCCGCGTCCCGGCCGCCCCGCTGTCTCTGCGCCTCCTCCGCCTGCCTCGCACCCGCACCGGCCCAGCCCCCGACGTCCGCCCGCTCTCCTCGCCCGGAGCGCTGTGAGCCAGGAGCAGCCGCAGGCTCCTCGGACGCGCCCGCCGCGCTCACCACGTGGCCCGGAGGCGGCCGCCAGTCTGCGCCCGCGACCGGGGGCGGGCGCTGCACCACTGGCTCGGAGCTGGGCAGGGGAGGCCTCCCGCCCCCTCCCTAGGGATGCTCCGCCGGCTCGAGTGCGCCCCCGTCCCAGCCTGGACTCCCCTCCCACCCCCTTGCTACTTTGGTGTCAGAGGGACCTGGGTGTGGATCCCGCCTCCCGCCCCTGCACTAACCGGCGGAGTGACCTTGTGTAGTCATTTAACCTCCCTCAGCTTCATTCTCTTTGTGAGATGAGGAAAATCGTACCACCTCCCTCAGAGGGTGGTTGGGGAGACTGAATAAAATGATTCGAACAAAGAGCGTAGCGCAGTGCCCTGCGCACAGTTACATGCTCCGTAAATCACCCGTATTATCCGTGCCTTTCTTGCATCCCATTCATTCGCTCAACAAAAATTTTGAAGGTGCCTAATAGAAGAGCCAAGTGTTTGGGGGGACCCTCTAGTACACAAAACCAGATGCAGCCTCTGCTTCCTGGGGCTTACAGCCCAGTGCAGGAGAGAGAGAGAGAGCAATCCTAAAATGCCATTAAGATATAGGTACGAATTGAGAAAGTGGCAGGGTGTGCAAAACGCAGGGGTCAGGACAGCTTCCCTGGGGAAACGACACTTGAGGTGAGGGGTGAAGTTTGGGGAGGAACTAAAGGAAGAAACAAGGGAAGAGGATTCCGGATAAAGGAAGCAGAGGGACTGAAAGGAAACCAGGAAGAGGAGAAGGCAGGAAGTGAGGGGGCGATGAGGTGGTGGGCAGGTTCTTGAAGACGACCTTAAGGAGCGCTCTGGCTGCAGTGCGAGCCGATAGAAGTGGGGCACTTGGCTAAGTTATCCTTGCCACACCCCTTCCAAGACCTAACCATTCCAGATTAGAGCCATCCTTCTCCTTGGGGTGCCCAGCCTTTCCAGAATATTTTCTCTACCAAGCATTACTCTGTTCCAGGCACTGTGATAAGCACTTTATCCATGCGCCAACACTTTGGAGTAGCTTCTGTTATTATTGTCCCCATGTTACAGATGAGAAGACTGAGACTCAGCACCAGATTATCCCACCTATCCGAACTGGTCTCCCTCCTTAAAGGGACTGATTGACCCCCGCATCCAGGAGAGGGCTGGGGTCACAGGAGGTGCTCAAGAAATGCTTTTTGGATGATAAAGATCCCAAAGGGAACTGAAGTGGAACAATATTAGGGGTTCTGAGCTCTAGGCTCTGGGGCAATGCTCTTGGCTCTGTGTGTGGCTGGACAAAGACCCCTCCCTCACCTCACCCTCTAGCTTGAGTCATCCATCTATGTGCAAGGCTCCTACCCTTTCCCGGAAAAAAAGCCAGAATTCCCAAGCGCACCCTCTTCTCCATTTTCTCCACCCCACTTAGCTGCTGTCCAGGCACCACTACCAACTACAGCAAGTCCCCCACCCCAGGGCTTTCCCACTCAACCACCTAAAGACTTATCAGAGATTTTTGCTGTGGTCACCTGCTGCCAAAACTCTCTCCCCTTCCCAAAGGGCCTGGTACTCACAGACTTTTCTAGTGCCAGCGGAGAGAAATTGGGACAGGAAGAAGGAGGGCTACTTTATTGGAATCCTGGTCCCCTCCCTAACCCTCCAAGCCAAGTTTTTTCCTGCCTCAGGACATTTGTACATTCTATTCCTTCCACTCGGAAGGCTGGGCCAATTCCCCAGCCTAAGCGTTATTTATCCCTCAAGTTTCAGCGTAAATATCACTTCCTTTGTGAAACCTTCACTGATCCCCACGCCACCTCCAACTATCCCAGCTCTCCTTATTATGCGGCCTCTTCTTTACATATTAATAGTTTCCCATGTATTTATTTGTGTAATCATTGGATTTTTTGTGCATCACCTTCACATAAAAAAGTATTGTGTAAAACTAACCATTGAGTACTATGCTCAGTAACTGAGTTGACAGGATAATTCACACCCCAAACTTCAGCATCACAAAATATACCCAGGTGGCAAATCTGCACATGGACCCCCCTGGATCTACAAGAAAAATTGAAAAAGGCTGGGCACAGTGGCACACACTTGTAATCCAAACATTTTGGGAGGCTGAGGCAGGCAGATCACTTGAGCCTAGGAGTTCGAAACCAGCCTGGGCAACATGGAAAAAACCCTGTCTCTACAAAAAAAAAAAGACTGTTAAGCATGGTAATGTGTGTCTCTAGTCCCAGCTACTTGGGAGGCTGAGGTGGGAGGATCATTTGAGCTGGGAAAATAGAGGCTGCAGTGAGTCGAGATCGTGCCTCTGCACTTCAGCCTAGATGACAGCAAGACCCTGTCTCAAAAAAAAAAAAGTTGAAACAAACATAAAAAGATCTTGTGCATTTCTGTGCCCTCCACCTTAGTGCAAGCACTGACACACAGATGCTCACTTGATGAGTGACTGAATAAAGAAGCTCAGTTCCAACTTTGGTTACTTCATTTTTTTTTTTTTAAAGAAGCTCAAAATCAAGAAGTTGTGAAAGAGGGCTGGGTGCGGTGGCTCACGCCTGTAATCCCAGCACTTTGGGAGGCCGAGGTGGGCAGATCACCTGAGATCAGGAGTTCAAGACCAGCCTGAACAACATGGTGAAACCCGGTCTATACTAAAAATTAAAAAAAAAAAAAAGCTGGGCGTAATGGTAGGTTCCTGTAATCCCAGCTACTTGGGAGGCTGAGGCAGGAGAATCGCGAATCGCTTGAACCTGGGAGGCAGAGGTTGCAGTGAGCTGAGATGGCACCATTGCACTCCAGCCTGGGTGACAAGAGCGGAAGTCCATCTCAAAAAAAGAAAAAGAAAAAGAAAAAGAAGTTGTGAAAGATATGTAAATGACCAAGTACATGAGTGAAATCATTGCTAAGAAAACATACATGCCGACTGGGCTCCGTAGCTCACATCTGTAATCCCAGCACTTTGGGAGGCCGAGGAGGGCAAGTCACCTGAGGTCAGGAGTTCAAGACCAGCCTGGCTAACATAGCGAAACTCAGTTTCTACTAAAAATACAAAAAATTAGCCAGGCTTGGTGGCTCACGCCTGTAATCCCAGCTACTCAGAAAGCTGAGGCAGGAGAATTGCTTGAACCCGGGAGGCGGAGCTTGCAGTGAGCCGAGATCGTGCCTGTGCACTCCAGCCTGGGCGACAGAGCGAGACTCTGTCTAAGAAAGAAAGAAAGAAAGTTGTTGCTCTCAGTGCTGGAGTGCTCTAGTGTGCTTGTGTTTCGGTTTGGTTCGCTTCAGCAACCTCGGTTCCCTCCCGGGTCAAGCGATTCCCTTTTGTCTCAGCTTCTTTTCTTGTATTAGCTGGGGTTTTATTTTTAGGCAATTGTTTCCATCCTATTCTTGCCGGTCTTTTAATTTTTGTATTTTTTAGTAGAGACAGATGGGTTTTTCTTCATGTTGGGTCTAGGTCTGGTCTCGATTATACTCCCGCAACCTCAGGTGATCCATTCCCGCCTTGGCACTCCCAAAGTGTCTGTGGTATTGACAGGCGTGTTGAGCTCTGCCGCATCTCGTCCACTGGGAGATTTTGAGTTCACTCCACTGTTGGGGGGAATCCAGGTTTAGACTACAGTCCTCCTACATCCTGCTGGTACAGTAAGAGTTGAAGCTGTGTTGGAGCTTGTTCATATCCTGACCTGCCAAGGTGGTGACTGAAATGTAAGAGAAAAACATATGGGAAATCCTGGGTAATCCCAGGCATCAGAAGGCGCGGTCCCAGGCAGGAGAGGAACAGAAATCACTGGTAATGGATAGAGCAAGAAAGGATACTCTCCTGGGGTAATCTATTATACGAATGTTTGTATATGTGGGAATGTGGCTTCCAGA